GATCAAAATGACAGTGAGTCCAACACATTTGACACAGCAACTGATTTGTTGTTTTAAGAATTTATTTTAAGCTTCTTGTGGAACGTATAACTGTAGTCAAAGATCTTAAGTGACCTTTGTTCAGTTGACAGCGAATATGTTGCTTCACTGACTAGATTGTAATGACACAAGGTGTCCCCCGGCTGACACGAAGTTTGTAGTCCCTGAATTAAAGTCACAGGGTCATAAACATTCAGAAAGCACCGGTCAATGTTGATTTGTGTCTTTTTTAAATGAAAACATGTGCAAGCACGCATGGCACTCATACAGCCAGTAGATAATACGTAGACCAATAAAACAAGCAAGAATCAAGATACTTTTTGAATTATGGGACCATTAGATGATTATTACCTAAATGGCACCTCCAAGTGGCTGAACTCCTGCAGATGTGAGACAGGAGAGTCTTAAATAGCTGGTAGGTGCACTGCCAGTTTCCAAAAGAAGTGTTGTTGTTGATGACTCAAGTGCCCAGCTGTTTGTATGCTGGTCCTTCTATTTATCATGCTTGGTTTACTCAAGGGAAAGCTGCACATTTGTCAGCGCTTTGTTTATCCATTCAGGAGCAAAATGAGGACAAACAGGAAATTACAGAGTGAAGGGAACTGGTTTTGACCGACCCACACAAGGGAAACATTTATTCACAGAGAGAGTATACAGAATTTGATTTCCACATCCATGGTCCAAATTAGTGCAACATGCTTTGTCTGCTTGAAACACTTTTCTTGTTAAGACCTTGGATTTAATAGCATCATTTGGAGTAACCCTGCTATGTTTACTCCAGCCAGGCATCTCGTTGCTAATATGGCCTTATCTTTTACAAGCTGTATGCCCTGTTAATGATCACAAACATCACGTTCGTGACTTTTTAATGTGTTGTAAAATGTATAGCTAAAATGTTTAACGTCTTTTGTTTCATACATAGCCATATGGTATGTTGTCTTATTGTTACCAGCTGTTTCTTTTTGATTTTAGCTTTAAAAGAGATTTAAGGGACATTTCACTATAATGATACAATTGCACCTTTGTTCACAGTGAATTATTTTATTTTTTTTCACTGAGGCCTTGGCTAAATCCAAATGCCCTTCTAGGGGTCATTAGTGAAGTGCAGTCCTGTTCTGAAAGAAGAGCCTCAGTCTTGAATGTGTTTACTAGAAACCAGTAAAAACTGGAAGCAAAGGTCACAGACAAAGATGAGAGCAAAAAAGAACACATGCCACCAGACAAAGGTCAAAGGGAATCTCAGCTTTTCCAACATGTATAACATTTTAAAAATAAACATTGTTTTTATATGGCATGTCCACCTTGGAATGTCTGCTCTGGTTTAATTTTGGTCTTGCCAAGTAACAGCAAGAACATGTTTTTCACTACATGTCATCACCTGTTGGATGCCAAAAGATTAATGCTAATAGGCAAAACAATGAGGTACTAGCACATTAAACTAAACAAAATAAATATATTATTATAGTGCAGTAGCTGGCCAAAGATATAGGGACAGGTTGTTGGACAACTTGCATCATCTAAAGTAAATTTGATATATAATAGGCTCATTGTAGTGGTGCAGTGCAGTTGCCAGTGCTGCTGACACTAAAAATCTCCTTCCTGCAGTGCACCGCAGAGTGTCAAAATAGCACGTTTAAACAATGTCTGTTATTGTATCAAGTGTGTTTTGGTGGTCATATCATTAGAGGTTGGATAGTCTCAACTAAATATAGTTTTTCCAGCCTTAGTAACAAGTGCTAACCTCTTTATCTGTTTCTTTATCTGGCTATTATATTTTAATTTTCTGACCTCCAGAGCTCTGACCAGGGTGATACAGTCACTTCCCTCTGAGTCACAAGATGAGCACATTTAACCTGCACTCCCTTTCCTGCATGTCAGCATCAGTGAAGGTCTGAGAGGAGGTCAGACAGCCATTTGCAGAGCACCAAAAGGAAGTCTTAGTGATTAATAAAATTCCCCTTGGTTGAGTGAAAACTCTTATGCTAGTACTTTAGTATCATGTCAGAAGCAGCTCATTCTCATCTAAATATTAAATAACTTCAATATATTTAAGATCTTTTTTTTTTCATTCTGTGCAAATGCGCCAAAATACGTTCGCTTTTAACTTTGTGTTCTCTCTCCATGAATTTATGTGAAAGTATGAAATATAAAAAATGGGCTTCTGTTTGTATGTTATGTATGCCTTAAGTTGTGTGCAACGGCATGATTGATAATTTTTTTCTTACACAGAATTACAGAGGGTTACAGCAGACGGTCAGTGTTCTGATATCTTTGGACACAGCTCCTTTTCCCTAAAAACAAAACAGTACTTCACAACTGAACAAAAGCAACTCTTGACAATCTAACACTGTAAACGGAGGGTAGCTCACCCTCCAGTGTGGGCATTGTGTGTAACGGTACACATTGGTTAATATCTGCAATATATTGACTTTTTTTGGGAATACTCCTTTTTGAACCCAATACTTGCAGTACTCAAAAAAGAAACTGCCATGATTGCATTGACATCTAATCTCTACCTATGTATAAAACTTTCAAATACACAATTGTATTTACTATGTACGATTAAATCATCTCTGTATTCTGGTGCCTGTAGATTAGGGATGTACGAAAACAGTTGGTTCCCCTTTCAGGGTTCAGATCCATTACATCTTGTAGCATGAGTTTGTCAATCTTGAACTCGTGTGTTATAGCCATACGGAAAGCCACCCACTTAACCCCATAGCAACAATCGTTGTTGAATATAAACTGGATGGACAGAATTGTTTCAATCAGCACCATCTGTATCACACGTGACATGGCCTTTATCAATGAATTGTTGCACAGTGGACTGAACACTGGCTTTTTAAGCAGACAATGGACAACTGAACTTTGATTTCCTAATGTTCAGACCCTACTTTTGTACCATTCTGAAACATGATAATAAAACAAATACTTAACACTAAATCCTTTTGCAAGAGTGTTAATTTCTTATCCGGTGGATAGTAGTTCTTTCAGTGGAAAGTCCTAAGCACTGTTGAGCTTGTTGCTGGGAAACGTATTTTACATACCTTAGTATGTCTACTGACATTTTGACTTGTCTTAGCAGGTAAAGCACAGGTTTAATTAATAACATTATGGCAAATGGCTCTGTCATGGCTGTTGCAAGCAGGGTAACAGGAATACAGTGGAAGGACCTAAATACGACTGAGCACAAGGTCAAAGGTTGAAGTGTGACCATAGTGTGACATTCTGGGCCTTGTACTGGACTGCAGTCTTCACGTACAAAAGGTCAAGCTGACACTGAATCCCTGTCGGGTTGTTTTTTTAAATTTTTATAAACTGTAAAGGTTCATACTAATTTGCAAGGAACAAAGCAAATATTAAAGCAGATGTTTCAAAAAGTAAGTTTTTTTTCTTCTTTCCTGTAATGTTAATCATCTTGTGACCCACACCTTAGAGTTATCCTGCACCTGATGTATACCTCATCTTAGGATTACACTTTCCTCTATTTAATAAGATATGAAGGGGTTATTGCCTCTGTGCTGCAATGAAAGAGTTAAAGTCCAAAATCCTATTACAGCCTCTCTATGGTTACACTTTAATTAATTTAGACACGTCACATGGTTGGAAATCAGCGTCTGCAGGATGTATGTTACCCGGATGTCTCTTTCCCGCAAGCTGGACCTCTCTGAGCAGACCATGGACTTTATGACAGATGGAGATATACAAAACGTGAGCACTACATTAAAATTATATTGAAGGTACAATGAGCTGTAGCTAACGATATGTCCTGCACTTTAAGCTTTTAACTTTAACTGCAAATGCTCAAATAAAGTATCTTAATTGGTCCCTATTCAATTTGAAGTATATGTAACACCAATAACTGTGTAGACTGTCTTTGTGTACTGTATCATATTCCTGGAAGATGTTATTGTTTATATTAATGTAGTTTATACAGTACCTGTGCACATTTCCGGCTCAGCGGTGGATGAAGTATTCAGATCTGTTACTTAATAAAAGTACTAATACCTCTCTGTAAAAATACTCACAAGTACAAAAGTAAAAGTGCTGCATTGAAAATGTTACTTAAGTAAGAGTTGTAAGTATAATCAGGAAAATGTACTTCTTGTTCTCTGTGACTGAGAGATCATTAGATTATAATTACTCATGCAATAATGTAAAAGCAGGGGTTTTACTGTTGTGGTTGGTTGAGGTTGAACTATTTTGTAAACGATTATCAAAATAGTAAGCCAATCTACTAATGTAGACTACACTGTAAAAAAGGATTGGATCAATAAGTTATAGTAACTTCTTTCTATAATTTACCTCCACTTAACATAATAAGTTATGAAATTTCAACTTAATTTAATGAGTTATCACTATCACAACTCAGGTTTGTAAGCCAGTTCAGTGAAATGTAAATTTCAATGTGTCAACTTAATTTATAAGTGTGAGTTGGAATATGGTAACCGGATCTCTTTAAAAGTGACCATGACCCCGGTGTGGCGACAGTACTAATGCGCGGTGCAAATAGTCCTGAATATTTCTCTTGATCTGATATACGACTAATAACTATGCGGATTGATTTTTGTAACACATTAATGAGGCGCACCACCCAATTGCAATTCCCCATTGAGAGAAGAAGAGGAACACAAATTAAGCCTACTGACAATGGAGAGCAGATAAGTAGCGGATGAATACGTTATTTTCCAGCAAGATGTGGATGAGACTTGGCAGCGGAAAAGCGGGTCTTTTCGGATTGGAGCAAGAGAAGCAAGGTGAGTCTGTCATTTATAATAATTGTAACCCAATTCAATGAGTCAATTAACTTAGTTATGAAGAAACGAAGTGCTGTCATGAGACTTTCTGAACACGGGATAGTTCAGAGCAGCTTATTAATGCATGTAACGTTAGTGTTGAGCAGTGAACCCAACTTTACAGTGTTTAACGTTAGTCCGAGAATCACTTTTTACTTTTATTAAGAAGAAACACAATCTTTTGACATTCACCCCTCAAAAAAGGACATTTATGGCGCTTGGTAGTTGTTTGAATGTTTGAGTTAGCTGCTTTACTAGAGCCTCTGTGTGTAACTTAGTGTCAGTAATTAGCCTTGGCCCGTCCCAACGATGTGTGGAGTAGCGTCGACGTTTCAGTAATTAGCCGTGACCCGTAACGTTACCAACGTTGTTTCAGTAATTAGCCATGGCCTGTTCCAACGATGTGGGTGGAGAGGCGTCGGCATTTCAGAAATTAGCCTTGACCAGGTGAGTTGCTACTAAATTAAAGTTAGCTGCTTCAGCAAAATTAAGAGGATTTGGGCTTTCTTAACATTGTTAGCTAATCTGTGACGGGGTTTCTTTTGCAATGTTATTCGCTTATTAGTGAGTTTGTACTCAGCTCCAGCTTAACCTGCCAATTTAAAAAAATAAAATAAAATAGCGGGAGGAAGGTAGACTTTACTGGCGCCATCGTGTGTTTCACTGTCTGACCGTGAGAAGAGCAAAGAGAGAGCTGAGCAGGTGAAGATAACATTAGTTGATTTTGACTCTTTTTTTTTTTTTTGAAAGAGTGCAGTGACGTTAAAACGGTAGCCTCTGATCCACCACATCTGTTTTAACAGGCAGTGGCGAGTTGTTAAATCATTGTTTCCCATACGTAATTTATTTGTGGCGTCCCGCCACAATATCAACGCAGACTGCCACATATTGATTTTCGTTTTTTTTTTTTTACTAGGCCTATTTAAAATCTAAATCTAATCCCGCCCCTCTCCCTCATGAACACAGCAAAAGAAGAGGTTATAGTAAACATTTATACTTAAAACTATGTATTTTTATCTCTTTTCAGGTAAAAGTAGTCTACAATGCTGCTGCGTGTCATCATATCAGAAAATGAAGACATCCCATCCAGTGTTGAGGAGCTGTATCAGGTGTTGCGAACAAAGCTTGGTCTGAGAGGTGGATTCATTTTGCAATAATCAGTAATGCAACCTAATCAGTGTGCAACCTAACAGACATCAAAGACCTTCCTGTGAGGTGGGCAACTGTGAAAGTGTTGTTCACAGCTGATGACGTCTCAGATTCTACACTGGACACTTGCAGCCTCCCTTCTCTTAGTAGAGATTGTGTTGAATGGCCTGACCCCTTCCCGATTCCACAGTTCTCACATGATGTGGAGCTGCAGCTGAAAGAAGCCAATGCTAAGGATGGATCTGTAATGGTGATTCCTAAAGGTTTAAAGACATTCTTGATATACTGGCCGACAGTATGTCAAAGATTAGTGCTTATCCTGAGAGGCATCACTATGAGAATGAAGCCAAAGCACTTGTGGAGAAGCATCCTAGTCTGAAGGAGCCAAGGTCAGAAAAGGGATGGTACTCGTGGTTTCACAGCCTGAAATTTAAGCTTGGAAACTATCGGCAAAAGTTAAGTGCAGCAGGATGCCCTGAAGTGGTGGTAAAGAAAAGGAGAAGGTTCGAAGGGGAAAGTGTAAAGAAGTCAAAGAAGGGTGAGGTCAACTACTGTCCAGATCCGCCTGAAGGACAGAGTCCTGAAAACATGGAGGAGAAGTGTAATATGATGGAGGCTGAAATGCTGAAGAGACCCTGATCCCCAGCTGGTAGAAGACCTGATGGTTGCTACGTTTTCCCAGCGCAGAAAAGAGATAATTGGAGATCAGCCACTCATCACAGAAGTCATTTCCAGATGGCCACCTCTGTTGCATGAGAGACAGGTACTCAGTTGAGAGATAGAAGCACGTTTTGTCTGATACTGTGTCTTGTTCATAATTATGTTTGACTTATATTTTCTATCTGTCTCTTCTCAGATCAGGACGGAGTTCAAGAGAATGGTCACCAAAGACCTTCTGGAATATTTTCTCGACAGACGTGATGGCCTGGTCCCAAGACTGCTAGAGGTGTACAAAGCAGCAACCAAGACTGGAAAGAAGCAATCACTCAAAGATATTTTGGACTGCCTTCAGAAAGATGTAAGTGGAGAGCAGATCATAAAATTAGGCAAAATGTATTATCTTGGCTAAAACATTTTCAACTTACTGCATGTTTCTTTTTCATGTAGGATACAAATGAGAAGAGAAGGACTGCTGCCTTGCTTGGTCTGCCACACTACATATCAGGCGAAGATCCATCAACTGTAGTCAGGATGTGACGTAAGACTATTATGATTTCTGTAACGCAAAACTGTTAGTGTGTGTATATGGGTGATTCTTTTACTGTGGGACTTGTGGGTAGATTTTCAAGAAAGAAAAATACTTCATACCCCAACCCAGACTTATTAACGTTGCCTGTCTAATAGTCATGAAAACTCATTCAATTCATTCAAACTTTACTTTGCATTTTCTCATAACTTAAATGATAGATTTCAATTCATGTGGTTATAATGTGTAATTTACACTTTTTTTTCTTATAAATGGCTGTTCCGGTCACTCATCTCTTAGAGAACAATTTTAAAACATTTGCTAAAGTCCTTCAGTGTCTGAACTATTTCTGTCTCACTTCCAAGGGTTGAAATTCTGAAAATGAATTGATAGTTGGTGTTACTGATCAGGTTCAGTCTATTTGGGGAACAACTAAAGGGTGTGACTTTCCTGCTCTATATTTGAGGATTATGATTGCATTTTAAATTAGTCTTTTAAAGCCTATATAATTGTAGACTAAAACAGTCACACACTGTCTCTGCTTTTCAAGGCTCACAGGGAGACTCTGGATGAAACCATGAAGGGGATGCAACTTGGCCTGCTGATAGGCTATGAAGGTGCTGAACGGGATGCCTTTCCACGGGAGGTCTTCGAGATAGCTGTTGTGGTTGAGGAGACAACATTAAAGATGTGGCATGCAGCTTTGCCATGCTCATGGGTGTCATCTACTGTGTCAATCTCGAGTACCAGAAGCCATGAAGTATTCCATTGAGTTTCTTCAGAGAGTGGTGATGAAGATAAAACCAGACCAAGCATGTGCCCGCGTACATGGACTAAGAAACAGAATCCTGAGGTACAGACTGTAACACCTGCTTCTCATTTTCTCAAGATTCTCATGTGGATATTGTTCCTGTCAAGACTTCATTGTTCTCTTTTATATGCACTTTCACGTTCTGTACTGTGGAAAAACAGCACTGTCTCACAATTTAAAACTTAATTTTGAGAATGATAGAGGGGACAAAACACTGATCCTCCCCACTTTTTTATTGGACGGATTGTGAGAGCTGATGGTCTCGACTGTTCGAAGTCTTGTGAAGTTAGAAGTGGAGCACTTAAGACAACACAAACCAGCCTCAAAGTTCTTTATCTTCAATGGAACAAGACTGTAATGGACTTGGACATTTGAGTTTTGTGCATTTCCTTTTCAATATTACTACTCATTAGTCACCATGTTGTAGAAATCACAAGCATTTTACTGATTACAGCTGATGGTATCAACTGTTCTCTCCTCAGACAGACGTTTTTCTTTATTATGTTTTTTGATTGTTAAATGCAGTTGCAGGCAAACGGTCTCAAGGTTTATATCATCTCATTTCAATGAACTGATTGGTATTAGAGTTGGTTGGGTTGACCTCGCTCCTCATAGGTGACTGTTTAAATACTGTTGGAACATGTTAAATTATCATAAATATGGTCTCACTTTGGCACTTGTGTAGTCTGAGATGTTTTCATTGGCTTTTAGGCTTGTTGCGTCAATTACAATTGTATCTGAAGGAGACGAAGGCTGTGAGTTGAGGTACTTACAATAAATTCTTGAATACGTGAATTGTAAGTTCATTCATTGTACTCTTAAGAAACTGGTGAACTTGCCATTATTAGTTGAGATAGGGGATGGAAATTAAAAACACAAGTCTACTTAATTTGAAATTATAAGTTCGATTGCTGCCTTAAAAACATGAGTTAACCTAACTTCAAAAGGCAATTGGTATGAATATAGTCAATTATCTTAACTTAAAAATGTGAGTTGAAAGGGTATAGACTTGCATGTTTGTTTGACAAAAAAGAGTAAGTTTCATTGACTAGACGATGTAATACAGATAGTTGGTTTAACTCACAGTATCAAGTTGAAACAATAAATGATCATTCATTAAACAACTTCCTTAACTTAACTTACAGAGTTGAAATAGCTTAGATTTGTATGTTTGTTTGACAAAAGAAAGCAAGTTTCTTTGAATGACCAATGTAATATAGGTAGTTGGTTTAACTCACAGTATCAAGTTGAAACCATAAATGATCATTAATTAAACAACTTGTGGAAGGTAACACCATGAGTTAAAATAAAGCTTTTGTTAAAGTTGAGTTTACTCACATTTTTAAGGCAGCAATTGAACTTAAGTTTTTAAGTTAAACTACCTTGATAATTTTTACAGTGTACTAGCTGTAGGCTACTTGTATAAACTGTTGGGTAATTTAATTTATAACAAAACACCGTATGTTTTAAACTGTAACTAGGCCTAAATATAGAGAAAGAAAAAGTACTACAATATCTCCCTCTGAGATGTAGTGGAGTAGAAGTAGAAAATGCATCTTGGATTCATTCTCAATCTTACGGCTCATAATCTGACAGCGATCCACTTGGACAGAGTGCACAAAGGCTGTCATTTTCAATTGCCAACAGCAAGGCCAGGCTGAGCAGAGTGAAAACGTTTAGAGAAGCATGATCATCAAAACGAATGATGCAGCACCGACATTTTCCACCCACAGGATGAAAACAAATACAGAAATTGGCATAGCAGGCTGAGAACCTAGGGTTTTCAAAAAGACCAAAAAGATTATTGGCCCTATCATTTGCTTTTTCTTTCTTGTTGCTCAAATACCCCACGATATTTGTTGTGACTTTATTGCGCACATGACGTTTAAATGATCGACAGCAGCATCTCTAAGCATGAAATTAAAACACAAAATAAGGCTCGGCGCCATGCTCACTTCATCCTGTCGCCGGGCCTGCTCTACAGTAGGCTATGAGCATTTTGAGGGCATATGTGAGTGAAAATGATAGTGTGAAAAATATTTCTGGGGGCCTGGGTAGTTTAGACACTTAAATTAACAAAGCTTAACTGTACAAAATATTCACATAGAGCCATGCCACTTTGAGCTGACAATGTCGCTGTTTAAAATGAGAAACATAAAAGTCATATAATTTGTTGCTAACAAACATTAATTCCATGATTTAACTTTACCAAAATGTTGTATACTATCTGTGGCGAATTAGGTTTCAGCACAACACTGCAGTTCGTACTAAAATAAATATCACTGAGTAACACTGTTGTACAGTCAGTGGACTGATTTAATCCAACAAAACTATAAACACACACACACACACACACACACACACACACTTTATTACGTTGCTATTGGACCCACTTTTGCCTCCAGAACTGCCTTAATTTTTTATGAAATACTTTCAACAAGGTGCTGACTTTGGTCCATATTGACATGATAGCATCATGCAGTTGCTGCAGATTTGTCGGTTGCACATCCATGATGCGGATCTCCTGCTCCACCCAGAGGTTCCACCACATCCCAAAGGTGCTCTATTGATTTATAACTTGCAATCTAAATAAATTATATATACATCATATGATAATTAAACAAATAACCTTGTGGAGCCATGAAAATAATAGTACAGTGATTCAGTCCAGAATAGGTTTTTGAAATGTGTGTACAAATCATTTTTAATGGCCCTTTTTGCTGTGACACATGGACCTCTTGTGGCTCTTTTATGGTACTGCATTATATAGTTATTTTACAATTTGCCATCAAGTTTGTCTTGAAGAGCTGATAAATACTGCAATATGAGAAACAAGATGCACTTTCCACTGGTGGGTGTATACAGTGGCGCTCACCAGCCAGGATGAGGAGGAGTTAGGACCGAATAGGCTGCATTATTTGGAGAGAGTTTGTGTGTCTTTATAATAATATGCCTATCTCTTTCTCTATTAATATTACAGAAAAAGTTGCATTTTATTTACCCTATCCAGCACTGGTCCTTTATTTTGCATCTGTACATCTGCTGCAATATAAAATTACTCAATTATAAGTAAAAGTCAGTATTGTGAAGATGTATGAAGAAGTATAAAATTATTATTAGCAGAATGTACTTAAACTATCAATAGTTAAACTACTCATAATTCAGAAAAACTATTTTATATTCCTTTGGGTATAATCTATAACAATATCATTTATGTAAACTCATTGTATGTTTTGTAAAATCCTAATCTGTTACTAAAGCTATGAAATAAATGTAGTGGAGCAAAAAGGTATAGGTAAAAATAAAAGGTAATAAATAGATAAAAGGTACAGTATAAATAAAAGGTACAGTATTTACCTCTGAACTGTAGTACAGTAGAAGTTTAAAGTAGCATTAGATGGAAATCTTCAAGTGAAGTCCCTCAACTTAGTACACTAATTAGTTTAATTCCACCATTGCCTCTAGTCAACAAACCAGTGACCACAAGATAGTGCTGGAGCAACGACATCTAGAGGTCATCCTGGGCTACTACAGCACCACTATGTGCAACGCGTAGTCCAAAATCCTATTAAGGCCTCTGTATAGTTACACTTTAATTGATTTAGACACGTCACATGGTCGGAAATCAGTGTCGGCAGGCTGTATGTTACCCGGATGTCTCTGTCCCGCGAGCTGGACTTCTCCAAGCAGACCATGGATTTTTTGGCAGATCGGGATGTGCAAAAGGTGAGCACTACATTAACATAAAAGTTAAAATGAGCTCGTGCACTCTATTATATATTTTACACTTGAAGTTATTTAGCTAACTGCAAATGCTCGACTAGAGTATCTTAATTAGACTTTATTCAAATAAAAGTGTCTGTAACACTAATAACTGTGTAGACGTTCTTTGTGTCACTTACTGGATCATATTCCTGCAAGATGTTATTGTTTGTTTTCATGTACTTTATATAACAGTAGTTGTACACATTTCAGGCTCATTACATAACATGCAACAAATGGCCTATTTAAGGTGGTCTACACCAAACGCCCATTTATTCTTGTTGTGTAAACACCAGAGCTGTCTTAAACAGTACATTGGCCTCTTTTTTTGCGTTTAGACGTCAAAGGGCACTTTTTTTACGTTTATCTCTCCTATTAGTGTGACTATAAGCAGGGACATAACGGCATAAATACTAACATCAAGTATGTTAGTAATGTTATTTAGAGAGCACCTTTTAAAGAGCAGATGTCACAAATTGCTTTATTATAATATAATAATAAATAATTAATCATTACTAATAAATATGCAATTAGTTAGGTTATAATAATGCAATTAATTAGGTTATTGAATTGAGCATGCATAGTATAGTGTGTGTACATTTGGATCCTAAGATCCCTCTGCTACATGAATTGAATGTTTGTGTGAAATGATGGGGAAACAATTAGTTGATCAATCAATTAAGATGGAAATGAAAATGAAATGAACAGTTTCATGTGAGAGTACATAGTGTCAAATAAGTTGAGATCCCAACGCTCTTGCTATCAGGTTGCAAAGAAGAATACTGGAGCCTTTCTCCCTTTAGTAACAACAGTGAGTGAGAAAAGGGAAATGCACCACGAAGAGCACCATGACAGTGCTGTGGAAGAAGGGAATCCAAGTTGTTGAGCAACTCAAGCCAATTCCAAGCTAGAAGAGAACCAGGAACCAAAAATGGCTAATAACACACAAAACCTACCACCCTACGTCAGAGTGGCCACTGTCAATGGGGTGGTTGCCCTAAGAAGAACGACCTCAGGACTCTGGGCAGGCAGAGAACTGAGAAAGCTGAAATGTGCGAAAGAAGCATTCCTGTCGGAAGAGGAAGAAGACAACTTCATGCTCACTAAATATTAGCATCGGAGTCTCGAAGGCAGCGAGTGATCTCAAGGAGGGGGTGTCAAATAAGTTGAGATCCCAACGCTCTTGCTATCAGGTCGCAAAGAAGAATACTGGAGAATACTCCCTTTAGTAACAACAGTGAGTGAGAAAAGGGAAGTGCAACATCCATCTGCAAAACACAGCTTAACAATGATATAAGCAATATATTGAATAATGATTAAAAGAAAGATATTTGGTATTAAACATGATATGATGATTGAAAATCAGGATATCTCATTGATATTGAAGATTAATAAATTGAATTGATCTTCCGATTGTAAAATACATAATATGGTTAAATAACTGTGCAAAAGGTCACTAAGTTTGGGTGAAGACATCATGACTCATGTCATTGGGAGAGAAGGGTCAGCAAGGGGAAATTAAATGGCCAAACAAGGACACCTCTGGCCCAACTGAATTTAAGGATGAACAAGCTATGTGACCGTAGTCACATAGACAGAAAGAGGGTGGTGGCTGATTTGACAAAGAAGCTCAGCTATGGAGTAGGATATATAAGAGGAGTCAGCGAGAGATCGGGGTTATTCCTCGGCAGACCTCAGAGGCATCGGACTCGGAGCAAGACCATCACCGCACCGGACCAAGAGCCCAAGACAAGAGACGGATATTTGAGCAGCAAACAACTAGAGAACACTTCTGAGATTTCTTCAGGGGACTTCAAGAGATCGAGCCACAGAGGGTAACCACGACATCCAAACCAACTGAAGAATCATTGGACTCTGAAGATTATCTCTCACTCAACTGCAACGAAGACTGAAGACTTTTGAAGACAATTTGAGGGCTTTGGACAAAGCCTCAGGTTTCCACCAGAGTCATCAGCCCAGCAGAAGAGGGAAAGAACTCCTTGGCCAGGACAACTCCTTCCCCTCCCTTTCTCTCCAAAAGGAAGACATCAAAATACTCAAGCTCAGCTATCACAATTAGGTTTTGAATTTTAAAGATTTTATCAGTTTACTCAAGTTTTAATCAGTTTAATTTGTATGCTTGCCCTTGCTTAATTTTGCAATAAAATATCTAATCACTGCATTTAAAGTACAAGTAGTAGACATTGAATTTATTTCTTCACTAAGGTAGTAATTCATTAGGTAAAGTGTGTTTAACATCTTTAAGGTTCTTATAGGTTGCTCTAGCCAACGAAATTAACTTATCCTTGGGGCCTATTTCCTGGCCACTAAACACAATCCTAGCAACTATACCAAGTGCACTGATCAATGAGAAGAGAGCTGTCGTTAACGGGCGTGGCTGGGGTGGTATTTGGCTCTAGGGCTATTCAGTCAGGTGCCATTTCAGAGTAAGCAGGGTAGGCGTTCGGAAGAAGACAGTTAGAAGCTAGGCGAATCTCTTCGACACCATCTTAAACAATCCTCAGTTATATCTAATAGGGTAATACCCATAGGCCCAGAGGATCGGACCCTTTACGACGGAGAGCTGGTCCAGTATCTCCTGAACAGGGGTAACTCGGGATCTAACAATAGAATACTTTTAGGATTTGGAATGTAAATGTAAAATCCCCCACATTTTCATAGCCTAGATTTTGGAAATTAGGATTAGCATAGCCTTTTTCATTGTTTCTGACTTTTTTAGACCACGTGATTAATCAAGAAACTTATTGGCAGATTGAAAATAATCTTATATACCACCCTACTCTGAATAGGCAGGACACATCTTTTTCTGTGCTCTTTTTCCCTTTAATGATGTAATTCAATTAAGAGTAAATTTAATGTGTAAATGCAGTGCATTTGACCCTTGATTGGACTCAAATTTGAGAGAACAAAGATCCTTCTGTTACATAACTTCTTGTATCTGTGTGAAAGTGGAAACAGATGTGAAAGATCATCTTGTCCCAGCTCTTAACTAGATGATCTACACTGAATGAAATATTCAGACTCAAGACTCGTGCTTTTATGGCCATCCCAGTTCATCAAGGTATCAGGTATTCTACTTTGAGAATACATAGTTTGTAAATCCCGTACATTTGACCTTAGATTTGACCTGAATTTTAGAAAACAAGGACATATCTCTCTGTGTAAAAAAGTTGAAATGTACGAAAACTACTAATGAAAGAAATCTACTGAGGACATGTCTTGACTCCTCGATGATAGCTTCAGCACTTTCCTCCCTCTTGATAGTACGTGGAGGATGGATATGTGGTTCTGGACGGACTGCTGACCTCCCAGGAGTGTGACGAGCTGAAGCAAAGGATGGCAGAGATAGTGGACCAGATGGACGTCCCGGAGCACTGCCGCACCACCTTCTCCACCTACCATGACGAGCAGCTCAAAACACAGGTGACCTAATGTGCAGTACCCTGTGAGATAAGTCTTTAAACAGTGTCAGTGACTCACAGTTTATCTCACAATATTTCTTTCACATGCTTTCCTTCATATCGCGCTTAAAGATGCAGGTAAGGTTCCCTTATGTTCATTAACTGCAGGAAGTCAGTGTGTTTCTCCTTCATGATCACGCTCACGACGTTTGTAGGTACTTGACCCCTCCACTGATTCACAGTGTTTACCTCGACCCTAGATGTCCTTCCTCTCAGGCTAATAGCAGACTTTTATGTCAACAGTCTAGTATGTGTCAGTGGGCTGTGTAATACAGTCATTCCCTGCTGGATCAGGGGACTGATTCACCTTTTGACCTGCAGGGAAATGCTGACTATTTCATCACCAGTGGAGATAAGATCCGCTTTTTCTTTGAGAAAGGAGTTTTTGATGACAAAGGTGAGCTCTGGTGAAATTCCTTTTAGTCTGTCCATTAAATTTTCAAATAGCAAAATGCCTAATTAGAGGGGTAAAGCATTTTTTTATCTTGCAGGGGAATTCATCGTACCAAAACAGCGGTCCCTAAATAAAGTCGGACATGGTAAGTTTTCTGATCATATTTCATGCACAAGGAGCTTCCCAACATCCAAATCTAATCCCAGTTTTCATCTTTTAGCACTACATGCCTATGAGCCACTGTACAAAAAGGTTACACATTCACCCAAAGTTCAGGTGAGCGTGAGCCTTTGAACAATATCAGAGAATGATGTATTTAGTCACAGAATAACCAACACTCACATTAAATCTTCTTCTTAGGGCATAGCGAAGAAGCTGGGTCTTGTAAGTCCTGTGATACTGCAAAGCATGTACATTTTTAAGGTAAGCATTAACATCCTCCCCTCCATGCATGAAATGCCTTGTGTAGTATCAGATGCTATATGAGTAGTTTAGGATAAGATATCATTCTCTTCCTCTCTCTTCCAGCACCTGGGATTGGTGGGGAAGGTAAGGAATCAGTAATAAAGACTAAGCAATTAACATGATAAAGGATGAGCAGATTTTTGTCTGTTTTTCTTAGTGACTCCACATCAAGATGCCACATTTCTGTACACGGTGCCCCTGGGCAGAGTTATGGGGCTGTGGATTGCCCTGGAAGATGCCACCATTAACAATGGCTGCCTGTGGTTTATCCCGGGGTCACACAACAGTAAGCTGACAATATAACTAACCTTGCACTGTCGCTTCTAAAGCAGCTCATTCCACTCAGTACACTAGATAATCACCAGACACTATTTGTTTAATACTGTGTGGTTTGGTTATGTTACATTCCACACCTTTTCCAAGGTGGTATTTCCCGGCGTATGGTCGTACTCCAAAGGGCACCTTTCCCCTGACAGACTTCCTGGTCGAGAGCAGACCTATGATGACGAGAAGTTTGTTGCTGCACCTGTTAAAAAAGGTAATTCATTTGGTCTTAACATTCAAGTGGACAAATGACGGTGAATAAGGAAGTAATATTTCTAAAACTTACAGTGTGAGATACAGTGTGCTACACAAGGATCCAGTGAGCATAGGCATTTTGTCACTCATTCAGAACGTTTGTGCATATAAGCAGTGTCTAAATGCAAAATGTGCATTGTTAGCGCTGAAACAAATTGTCCTTATTTTGTACAAATTAAACAAACAAGATTAAAATGTGTTAATTAGTGGATTGGTAGGTGGAATTTACCATTGGACAGCCTGTTTCCCCCTGTTTACAGTCTTTATGCTAAACTAAGCTAGTGTTCGATAAAGAAA